TCTATAACTTTGCAAAGAAAGGTCATGTAGAGTTGGGAGAGGTCTCATTTTAATCAGAAATGTGCGGGCTAGAATCATGCCTCATTAAGAAAGATTCGGGTTATTTTTTGGGGTTTCTGAAAAACTGGTTTTCTGGAAAACCAGGTCTCCGAAGACCTAGCAGCAAAAACCATTGTCATATTCGGAATCAGCATAGTCGATAACCTATTCTCCACTAGGTTTCAAGAAAAAAGCGAGCGGACACTTGTGACAGTTCCCTCGTTATAGCTGTTGTAAGTTGATACTGCCCAATGTTGTCCAACTCGATGAATAAATACTTTATCGGGAAATAATTCAATGCGACAATCGTTTAACGCTGAATCGGTTAAAATTTGATAAATGCAATCATCTTCGAATTCTTTACTCCAAACAGGAGATTCACGACATGAAGGCATTACTTCGAAATCGCATGTTGCTGCTTCTTCTTTTGACCAGCAAATGAATTGTTGTGATATATGTTCGATTCCTAGGTACATCGGCATTTTGGCTAATTTTACTCGCCTTTTTCCTTGATTAAAAGGTATAGGTACCAATTCATAAATTGAGAATGAAGCTTGATTTGGTTCTGGTGCTGCAAAATATGATGTAAATATTAGTTTTCCAATTAAAACGCCATTTTCCGATGCTGATCTTATCGGCATTGGCGCAAAATCAATTTGTTGTCGAACGAGTAATCGTGTGATTATTTCCACCATAGGAATCGAACTATTAACTTCGTTAATTGACAACTTCATTGCTTGAGATACTAACTTGACCACCGTAGGCATATCTCGGTGGTGAACAAAATGTAAGTTAAGTTTGTTTGATAATATCCCTTCTATTGATTCATGAATAAAATGTGTTTCTATCGCATGGGTAACATTGTCCAGCTTGGTTTTTAAAAATATTGTTTCGGTTACAATCGTTCGTAAGGCCACTGCTTGTTTACGTAATATTTCAGAGTGTTGGTTAACTATTTCCATTGTTTTGTTTAATGCTATTTGAGTATCTCCAAGTTCTTTCGCTGATTTAAATTGACCTTCCCTTAAGTGCAAAATTTGCGCTTGATTATTTTGTGTTGCGAGATGTAGAGCTTGAAGGGACTCTTTTACTCCCCTCATTTCTGCTTTTAAATTTCCCATTTGAAATAAATTTACCGTTGAAAACACCGTAGATGCTATTCCTGTTCCAATAGCAATAATTGCTGGCCAAAAACGTTTTTCTCGTATGTATATTGTTTCTATCACTGCTAATTCATGAAAATTTTGTGCCTTGGTCGTAGTGTTATTTTCGGAGATAACCTTCTCCTTCGTTTCAATCGCTTCTAATGTTGATTGTTCAGCCGATTGTGATTGAGCTCTAACGATAGGATTTCTTGATAAAGAATCTGCATTAGCATTTGCAGCTCCTGGACGATATTGAATACTTTCTATTTGAAATGCGGATAATTTCATTGCCCATCTTGCTAATCTTCCATTAATATCTTTCGCATTCTTCAACCATTGCAGCGCTTTACAATCCGACCTAATAAGTACTTTAGTTCCTTCCAAGTATGGACGAAAATGTTGAGTTGCCCATACAATGGCAAGAGCTTCACGTTCGGTTGCACTATAATTTCGTTCAGCTCGTGCTAAAGTTTGACTTGCATACGCAATGACAAATTTTCGTTTGTCGTATTCTGGCGCGAGTACAGCACCTAGTCCATATTCACAGGCATCTAATTCTAATATAAATGGTTCATTAAAATTTGGTGTGCTCATAATAGGAGCGTTTGTCAATTTCTTTTTTAGTGTTTCGAATGCTCTAGTGCATTCCGTCGTCCAGTTCAAATGATAATTCTTCTCTTTGAGTTGTCGTAACTGCTTGATAAGTGGTTCCGCAATCTTCGCATAATCTTTAATAAATCGTCAATAATAACCACTTAAACCTAAAAATGATTGAACGTCTTTTATAGATTTCGGTTGTGGAAAATCTGAGACAGCTTTCGTTAACGTTGGATCAGGCTTAATACCATCCTGAGTAATAATATGTCCTAAATATTTCATTTCCCTTCGACAAAAACAGCACTTCGATGCTTTAAGTGTTAGATTTGCTTCTCTTAATGCTTGAAATACATTCTTCAAATCGATGAGATGTTGTTCGAACGTAGGCGAATAAATAACTATATCGTCAATATATACTAAACAACTTTGCCATTTCAGTCCCGCTAAAACGATATCCATTAATCGTTGAAACGTAGCTGTTGCATTAGTTAATCCGTAAGGCATAACATTGAATTCATAAAGACCTTTGTGTGTAATAAATGCAGTCTTCTCTTTTGATTCTTTGTCCATTTCCACCTGGCAATATCCAGATCGTAAATCTAATGTTGATACGAATTTAGCTTCTTGCAGCGCATCAAGTGTATCATCGATTCGTGGTATTGGATACGCATCTCTTATTGTCGTTGAGTTTAATTTGCGATAATCCACACAGAATCGCATTGATCCATCTTTCTTCGGAGCTAAAATCACAGGAGAGGCCCACGGGCTCTTCGATGGTTCGATTATTCCTTCTTCTTTTATTTCTTTCAAATTCTGTTCAATAACTTGTCGCTTCGCTGGAGCATATCGATACGGAGGTGAATTGTATGGCTTTGAGTCCGGCATTAACTTGATTTGATGTCTCAACATTTTTGTTCGACCGTTTTGTTTTCTAAAAATATCCGAAAATGTTTGTATTACCTTCTTCAATTGGCCTTGTTGCTGTAGAGTTAAATTTTTATTGGATAGATCAAATTCATTCTCTGTTACTAGACGTTCCCTCTTGTTGCGTCTTTTCTATTTGATGTAACACATTTGATTGTGCTTCGTTAAGACGTGTCATCGAAGCTAGTGCTTGACCTGGGTGGATAATAATTGTCTTCTTTGTTAAGTTCGCCACTTGAACATTCATTGACTTTTGTGGTTTAATAACTCCATTTGCCACACATGGTGTGAGTTTTATCGTTGTTACTTCATATTCTGATGGCTCTTCCTCTGTGCTAACGACTTCTTTATCTGGTTGTACTTGAATATTGACAGCATGGTAAGATGGTATTTTAATACGTTCACTTGCCAATAAGACATATTCTTCTTCCTTTTCTCGGATTGGATCAAGATTTGGTGTTATCGGGTTTTTCACGACTAACTCTTTAAAATATATTCGTTGATGTCCGCCATCTATTTGGAGGTTGTGCCTTTGAATAAAATCGTTGCCAATAATGCATGGTCGCCATAATTTTGGTACCACATAAACTATATGTTTTTTGGTTCGATTCGCAATCGTGATTGGAAGTAGGAGAGATTTCTGTACGTATAAACAAGATTTATCCGCAAGATGTATCTGAAATTTTGATGAAGGATATCGAGCACTTTGACGAATGTAATATGGTAGATGAAATAAATTTGATTTAATTAATGTTAATGAAGCGCCTGAATTGATAAGCATTTTCGTCGGCCGGTTGGCTATAGTTCCTAATATCGAGAGAGGATTCGTTTGGTGAGTTTGAATCGATTTGGTATGGACCGACGATTGAACGGATTTGTTTACATAGGAGCGCGGCTGGTCCGTTCGTCCAGTGCTCCAATGACGTTTTTTGGGTACGGTTTGTTTCGTTCTTGTCGATAGTTTCCATATTGTGTTGGGCAATCCCTTGCCCAATGTCCGTAACCTCCACAAGTATAACAATAATTTCCTTGTGATTCTAGTTGTTGTGTCATATTCGATTCTGCTGTTGTTTGATTTCGACTAGGTGTAACTTCGTTCACTTGATGATTTTTTGCTATCCTTCTATAACTGTTAAATGAATCTTCCTTGTTCGACCATGGTGTTATTCTACGTGTATTGTCTTCGTCGTAACGTTTGTTAGGTGATGTTTCAGCATTCGAAGATGTTGCTTGTTTTATTTGCTTCACTAATCGATCTCCCTTTGCACGACGGTATAGAATGTCTTCGATTTGTTGAACTTCGGTTATAACTTCATCCAACGATGCATTACGATGCATTATTCCAATTAGATTTAATAAGTCGTTACGCATGCGACAGAATAAATGTTTAACTAAATCCCTTCCAGTTTCTTTCGGTTTTTGTTCTCTCCATAGCGCACGAAGACGAACTAAAAATTCATTAATGGTTTCATTTTCTTTTTGCTTACATTCATCCCATTCTTGTTCTTGACGTGCTTTTCGAATTGGTGAATTAAATTGTGCGAGGAATAATTCCGTAAATTCTTTCCATGTTTGCGGTCGACGGTGCGATAAACGTAATTGACAATACCATTCTAAGGCTGAGTCTCGTAAAAACTGTGATATACCGTTAACTAATGTAGCATGATCCCATGAGTGTACTGATTCAGCATATTCTTGAACAAAAATTGTGTTGAACTTTCAGTATGTTTTCCGTAAAATGCTGGAGCTGCTGACGACGGTGGCACAATAATTGAATGTTTTACACCATTTAGTGGAAGTACTTGAGGTACAGTTGGTATATACTTTATGTCGGACTCCAACATATTTAAACTTGTTTGAGAAGGATGTCCCAGATTATAAGTACTCATTTGAGAAGGATGTCCCAGAACATGAGTAGTCGTATGAGTTATTGTTCTTGATAATCTTTCTTTTCTATTCTGTTCTATTGCATGTTCTTCTACTTTAGCTTCTTTATCATATATCATATTCGATGCAATAGGTCGTGAGTCAGCCATTTGATTTAATGTGCTGACGATGCGACTCATATTGGTCTTCAAATCGTCATACACCTGCTTCAATTGTTGTTTATTTTCGTCATAATTGCTTTTGGCTTCTGCATAAAAAGAAACGGTCATTAATTGAATCGACCCTATTCTTTCAGACATTGTTTCGGACATTGTTTGTAGTTCATTTCTGGTTGAATTTATGTTTTGCTCACGATAATCAGTAAATGATTTCAACATTTCATCGATTTGCCCTTCTAGTTTACTAATTCTGTTTCTATTTGTTGTCTCTACTTCGACTAATCTCTTCACTGCTTCTTCAATTGAAACTTGTTCTGAAGTCATGGTTAATTCTTCAAACTTGTTTATAATATAATTTAATTGATCAGAAAATTGCGTAATATCCAATTTATCTTAATTATTTAATTAATAGTATATATATTTACTTCTTCTTCTGCCAGGGTCGCCAAATGTAACGAAAAAAGAGCAGATGATGAATATCTCTAATTTGTTACTGGTGTGACGAGATGGAGGAGTAGCACTACCGCCACCCTCGGTCTATTAGATGTTTATTACGCTACTTCATTTCTCCAAATTGTACCGTACAACACAAAGCAGTCGCTTTATATACGCGCACACAAGAGAGAGAAAAGAACAGAAAAGAGATAGAGCATCGATGTACGCATTACGTAAGAGTGTTGTTATATAAAAGTATTGTGCATAGCGACACAATCATATTACATTACAATACAACACATTGATGGTACTATGAAGGACACCACATTAGATAACGATACATTGCGTAACACTAAGAAAGACAATTCCTCGTTTCTATAACACAGGAACGGAGAAAAATCAAAAGAAGAGGAAACCTGAATATATGAATTAGAAAGGATGTCCAGCCATTATTGGCACATCGTGATTATAGAGAAGTCATTGAGTTTTTCACGGCATACATTGATTATTGTTTAGACTAGACAAATAAATAGGTTATGCATCAAAACTGACGTGAGAATATTTTATTTCATTGCTTTTAGCTCTCATTGTACATTAGTCGATATTTTCAACCATTTATATGATTTACTAACTTTTTCCTCCAATGAATCGTAGGAGAATTTTTACAATATATTCAAGATAATATTTTCTTTTTAGATAAGCGAATATCATTTATATAAAGTTTATACAATTGCGACATCGAAATAAGAAAACATGATTTCATGAATGTTTTCTTGTTCGATTCCAGTTCACAGTGTTTTATAAGATGTCATATGAGTTGTCATCTGACTAGGATAATTCAATATAACGCGTACTCTCGTTCTAAATAATTTTGTTAATCTCACATCATCATATTCCGAATCAATTTTATAAAAGATTATTTTAATGATCCAATCGTTCATATGCCGGTTAAAATATAACTTTTTTTATGTTTCTGAGTCATTTGATATTGTAGACAAAATGTTTAGATGATTTTCTTCCCATATATTCAAAAATATGGTATCATTTCTAAATACATAATAGAAGAATAATGCCTTGCTAAATTCATCGTTTCAGCATCATTTTTGTACAAATTTGTAAAAAGAATCATGAAATTCATCTACTATTATCCATTCGATCTATCATTATTTCAAATAGTTGAAGTTGTTTGTCATTAATATATATATATATCGATTATTCTCTATCTAGCTATTTTCCCCACAGTAGTAGCCAGACTTTCTAAAAAATAATAAACACACAATGTTGATTATTTTCTTTTATGTAAATAACATAGATCTTTCTCTCTTACTTGATTCCATTATAGTTACTACAGTATAACCTCTCTATAGCTCACTTTCGGGAGGTTATTCACTGCAGAGACGACTGAAAAAAAATAAATATCAACAGTTCAGAGTTTGAAATAATCGACAGTTTATGATTCATTATCATTCAGTTACTTGAAGTGTTATATTATCCGGTAGAATGATTTCAATGAAATGAAAATTGTTACTTATCATTAGATACTTTTTTTAAAAAATAACACGTTACATTCATATGAATATTCACTGAGGTAGAATACAAAATATTAATTTATATTTTTTTGAATAAATGAATAATTTCATTTTTTGAAAAACAAATAAGAAAATATTTTAATTTTTTTTACAAAATAAATATTAATATATACCCCCGGAAATAAATAGTTAAACTCTGTATTTTGAAAATATTTCCACGATAGCAACACATTTTGTTAAAAGTAACTGCATATTCTGAAAGCCCGTCGAGTTTTCTATCACTCTGAATTTTCTTGCATTCATTTATTTATTTTACGGTCGATTGAGGATGTTTTCATTGTACTCAAATTTTCTTTTCAATAAATGAATATAATAAAATAAGTAAATATACAGGCTGATAGAGAATTTCAAGCTCTATCAGAATATATAATTGCCTTTTTAAAAAAGTGATCCTATAGTGATGAAAAATTTTAAAAACTAATTTTGACGACAGTGACAAAATCAAGTCTGTGGGAATCTGGACATGGGTGCTTTCATTGCACTCAATTTATTTTGGTAATGAATAGGACTGAACTAAAACCTAATTATACAGAGTGATAGAAAACTCAACGGGCTTTCAGAATATGTAGTTACTTTCAACAAAATGTGTTGCTATAGTGGAAATATTTTCAAAATACAGAGTCTAACTATTTATTTCCGGGGGTATATATATATATAAAGGATGTCCCAGAAATTCTGAAGTAATGTTAAAATGCATCGTTCTCGCATTAAACAAACGCAAACTCTTTGAAACTTTGGCAAATTATTGTGCATGTTTAGTACTAAATAACAACAAAGTTTCAGATCTATAGCTTGTATTAACGATGAGAACCAATAACAGCACTATCATGTACCATTTTTTCAATTTTCCTATCTTTCGCATCAGGAACATTGTTTTATTTTGTTTATATCTGATCATAGATAGACGACAAAATCTTAAATTTGTTTTTCAAAGATGCGCTGTGAAAAGCTCTACAAAAATTGTAATAACTAATTACTATTGGCTTGTGTTAATAGTTTTTTACCACACTCAAAATAAAAAATCTACACGATAGTAGTACTTCTCACCATACTGAGCGTAATAAATAAATGTTTAGAAGACCTTTTTATTTTGCATATATCTCAGCTTGAGAAAATAAAACATTTTGATTTTTTTTTCAAAAGGTGCACCGTCGAAAAATCTACAAAAATTGTATAAACAAATTCCTACTGGAAAAGA